AAGAACAAAATTGGAAGAACACTACCCATCTTTCAGAGTTACATAAAGTCACAGTAATCAATTGGGTCCCTGAAATGGACTGTCCTGAGAGACCCACAGTTTCTCTTTTAAGTATATTTTATTTATATTTTATTTTATTTTATTAAGTATATTTTATTTTATTGACATGCTATTACGGTTGTCCTAATTTTTTCTCCCATTTATTTCCCAGCACCCTGCACCTTCCCACCCTCCAGCATTGCCCTCCCTTATTTCATGTCCATGGGACATACATACAAGTTCCTTGGCTTCTCATTGCCTATACTATTCTTAACCTCCCCCTGTCTGTTTTGTGCCTACATATTATATTTCCTATTCCCTGTACCTTACCCCCATTATCCCCCCTCCCCCTCCCCTCTGATAACCCCCCACATGGTCTCCATTTCTGTGATTCTGTTCTTGTTCTAGTTGTTTGCTTAGTTTGTTTTTTGTTTTTGTTTTTAGGTTCAGTTCTTGATAGTTGTGAGTTTGTTGTCATCTTGCTATTCAGTTTTGATCTTTCTCTTAGATAAGTCCCTTTAACATTTCATATAATAAGGGCTCGGTGATGATAAACTGTAACTTGACCTTATCTGGGAAGCACTTTATCTGCCCTTCCATTCTACATGATAGCTTTGCTGGACAGAGTAATCTTGGATGTAGTTCCTTGCCTTTCATAACTTTGAATACTCCTTCCCAGCCCCTTATTGTCTGCAAGGTTTGTTTTGAGAAAGCAGCTGATATTCTCATGGGAACTCATTTGTGGTTAAGTGTCTCCATTTATCTTGTTGCTTTTAAGAATCTTTCATTTTTAACCTTGGGAAATTCAATTTATCCTCACATGGCAGAAGAGGCTAGGGACTGTGTGGGTCTCTGTTACTAGAACATTAATCATGCACAAAGTCTACAGCCCCTGCTACCTAAACACCTCCAAAAGGGCCTGCCTCCTAATTCCATCATCTTTGGGGGTTAGAATTTCAGCCTCTGAATTTGGATTGTGTGGAAACAAATTCCTTTCTCAATAATTTTTTATTTAATTTATTGAGGTTACATAGGTGAAAAAATTTTATAGGTTTCAAGTGTGCAATTTTACAATACATTATCTGCACGTTGTATTGTTGTAACAGGGTGCAGCCAAGAGGGGGGCCCCAAACAGGGATTTGGAATGGGGTCCAGAACTCAAGGTGTCCAGGAAATATTAGGATGTCCTCACCCCTCCCCTGCACAGGTGTGGGTTGGAGGAAGGGACACATGGAGCAGGGCCATTGAGAGCTGTTTTGCATAGCAGCAGCTTTGCAGCTAACCTCTGGTGTGGTCATTTAACACATCTGTAACCTTTAACTGGTGACATAGATATGTTAAATAGCTGTGGCCATACTCTGAGCCAGGGGAATGGAAGTAACGTCCCCCCAAGACGTAACTGGTGACAGGTCCCCCAAATTATAGGGCTTGCATGGGAGCTTGGAGAAGATTGGCTCCATGACGTGGGGCCACGCCTGCCCAGACTCACAATGGCAGCCCAGTAAAGCTGGAAGGATATGAGAGTGCTGGCAAGTGTAGCCGATTGTGGGAGGAGTTGGAAATAGGGCTGCAGAGGAAGATTGGTGCGGGAATTTAAACCCAGACACGGCAGCCATTGTGGGGAGAGGACCACGTGGCTGGGGCCCGGGCAGAGAGAACCACTCCGTCTTTAGCAGAGTGGGGACTCCCGAGGCCCTGTGAGAGAGAATCACCGTGCGGCTTTAGCAGAGAACCACCACTTGGCTTTGGCAGAGTGGCGACCCCCCTCCTTGCAGCCATTGTGCCAAGAGAACCACGCAGCTGTGGACATGTAAGAGAGGATCACAGCCAGTGCAGGGGAGAACCACTCAGTTTGCCAGGGTGGGGACTCCCGTGGGCCTGGGAGGGAGAACCTTGCAGCTTTGCCAGAGTGGAGACTCCTGCGGCTTTAGAAGGGGGAACCACCACCCAGCTTTAGCAGAGATCCCGGTGATACAGCTGAGGGTGCCGGGAACCGAGGGAGGCCTACCAGCCGAGACGGAGTATTGGGAAGAACCGGGGGCTGCCTGAGCCATGGACTTCTATTTCCTTTCCTGAGATACGGTACCCTGGACTGGGCAAGGGGGGAAGGAAGGAAGGACTGTGCGTGTTTGTGGGTGTTTTAAGGGACTTTGGGATTTTGATGAAGACATTAGGTCATTACTTTAAGTCTGTACATCATTAAATAAACATTTCCTTTCCTTTTCATGAATCTCTTGCATTGAAAGATGTCTTTCCTCTGGCAATGGACATAACAAACCTAGGGGGGTCCTGTTAGTAATAGTATATTGCCCTTAGGCCCTGCCTTGTTGTTCTGTAACATTGTGAGTTCATCATACAAAGTTTAGTCTCCTTCCATCACCATTTATTCCAACTTTACCCTCTTCTACCTATTCCCATCCTGCTTTCCCTCTGGTAATTGGCACACTGTTGTCTGTGTCTATGAGTCTTTTTTCTTAATCCCTTAACCTCTTCACCAACTCTCCCAAACCTCCACCTAACAGCTGTCAGGAGAATTGCTTGTTGATTTATTAATGATGGCCATTTTGGCAGGTGGGAGGTGAAATCTCATTGTGGTTTTAATTTGCATCTCTCTGACGAGTAGTAACATTGAGCATTTCTTCATATGTCAAATGGCCATTTGTGTGTCCTCTTTGGAGAAGTGTCTATTCAGATCCTTTGCCCAATTTTTAATTGGATTGTTTTAGTGTCGCGCTGTTTTCTTTATGTATTTTGGATATTAAGCCCTTTTCAGATGTATCATTGGTGAATATGTTCTCCCATTCAGTGGGTTCCCTTTTCATTTTGTTTTGGGTTTCTTTTGCTGTGCAAATACATTTTATTTGATGTGATCTCATTGTTTAATTTTTGTTTTGTTTTCATTGTTCAAGGAGATTCAATTTTGAAGAATTGTGTGTTTCTAGGAACTTACTCATTACATTCAGACACTTCAGTTTGATGGCAAATACTTGTTTACAATGTTTTCTTACAATCCTTCATATTTCTGTGGTGTCTATTGTTGTTTCTCATCTTTCATTTCTGATTTTACTTATTTTAATCCTCACTTTTTTTATCTTGATATGTCTAATTAAATGTTTGTCAATTTTGTTTCTCTTTTCAAAGAACCATCTCATGGTTTCTTTGATCTTTTGTATTACTCTTTCAGGCTCTATTTTATTTATTTCTGCTGTGATCTTTATTATTTCCGTTCTTCTACTCTATTTGTGCTTTGTTTGTTGTCCTGTTTCTAGTTCAGGATTTCATTTATTGTTAGAGAAAGAGAAAGGAAGGAAGAAAGTAAGGGAGAGATACATCGATCTGCTTCCCCCTTACATACCCCATTAGGGGACTGAGCTCACAACCCAGGCATGTGCCCCTCAATGTGTGGGATGACGCCCAACTAACTGAGCCACATTGGTCAGGGACTTTTTCTAATTCTTTTATGTATAAAGTTTAATTGTTTATTTGTGATTTTTCTTGCTTCTTGAGGTATGCCTATACTGCTATGAATTTTCCTCTTAAGATGGCTTTCACTGTATCCAATAGATTTGCAGTTTTGTGTTCATTTTATTTTGTCTCAACAAAACTTTTTAGTTGTTCCTTAATATCATTGTTGACCTATTCATTGTTTAGTAACATGTTATTTAGCCTCCATGTCTTTGTGTATTTTTTCATATTTTTCCTTGTAATTGATTTCTACTTTCAGACTACTGTGGTTGGAGAAGATGTCTGATATGATTTCAATCTTCTTGAATTTATTAGGACTAGTTTAACTATCTCTCAAGATGTGGTTTATCCTCAGAATGTTCCATATGCACTTAAAAATGTATATTCTGCTGCTTTGAGGTGAAATGTTTTGTAAATATTAATTAAAACCATATAGTCTAATGTATTATATAGGCTGCTGAATCCTTGTTGATTTTTTTTTAATGGAAGACCTATCCATTGAGGTCAAAGGGGTGTTAAAATCCTCTACCTTGACTGCATTACTGTCAAGGTAGACTTTTCCTATATGTCCATCAAGACTTTTTAAATATATTTACCTGTTTTTGTTGTTGCTATTGGGTACACATATGTTTACAAGGGTTATATGCTATACTTGGATTGATCCCTTGATCATTATGTAATGTCCTTCTTTGTCTTTTGTTATGGACTTTGTTTTGAAGTCTACTTTCTCTAACAAGTATTGCTACTGCAGCTTACTTTTTTCTTATCTTTTTTTTCATTTGCATGAACTATTTTTTTCCATCCCTTTACTTTCAGTCTGTGTGTACCTTTTGTTCTGAGGTGGGTCTCTTGTAGGCAGCATATATATGGCTCTTATTTTCTTATCCATTCACCTACTCTATGTTTTTTCAGTGGAGCATTTGACTCATTTATTTTTAAAATAATTATTAATAGGTACTTAATTATTGCCATTTTGTTTTTGTACCTATGTTCCTCTCTTTTATTTCTTTCTTCTTTTTTATTTATTTATTTATTTATTTTTAGAGAGGGAAGGGAGGGAGAGAGAGAGAGAGAGAGAGAGAAACATCAATGTGCGGTTGCTGGGGGTTATGGCCTGCAACCCAGGCATGTACCCTGGCTGGGAATCGAACCTGGGAAACTTTGGTTCCCAGCCCGCGCTCCATCCACTGAGCTACGCCAGCCAGGGCTCTTTCTTCTTCTTAAACAAGTCACTTTAACATTTGTTGTAACACTAGTTTAGAGACAATAAATTCCCTTACCTTATTCTTGTTTGGTAAGCTCTTTCTCCTGTAATTTTAAATGATACCCTTGTTGGATAAAGTAGTGTTGGTTGTCAGTCCTCACTTTTCTGTTCCAGAATGACTCAGTAAAAATATCAGTATCGGTCAGGGTTCTCCAGAGAAACAAAACCAATAGGATATGTTTTTTTTTTAATTTTTATTCTTTAAGTAATTGACTCACATGATTGTGGGGTCTAGAAAGCCCAAAATCTGTAAAGCAGACAGAAGTTTCAGACAAGAATTGGTGATGGAGTCTTGATTCTAAAATCTGTAGGGCAGATGACCAGGGTGGACATTCAAACAGGATTTCTATGTTACCAGTCTTGAGGCAGAATTTCTTCTTAACTGTGAAACCTCAGTTGTTTTTCATAGGATCTTCAACTGATTAGATGAGGCCCACCAACATTATTAAGGGTGATTTCTTTCACTTAAAGGCAACTAATCATATATGCATATCACATCTACAAAATATCTTCATAGCAACATCTAAATTAGTGTCTGACTAAAGAACTGGGCACCATAGTGTAGTCAAGTTGACATATACAATCAACTACCACAGACTGTTTCAAGGTAAAGCTCTGAAATATATTTTATAAAAAAGATACACATTGAAGATCCTTAAAAGTAGCCCAATTGGGTAAATGAGTGATTTCAGTAGCTTTGTGGCTCCAAAACAGACATTTAGCAACAACACAATTTTCTTGTGCATGCCAAGAGAAGAGATGCCCAGTTCTTTGATGCACTCTATCTGATAAAAAAAACACTCAGTAATTACAGTAATCCAAATGATTTTAGAAACCACCCTGGCACTTGTAACTGTTCTTATGTGGCGTGTTTCTGCTGGAAGGAAAGTGATCAGAAAGGCCTCGAGGCTGACACAGCTGAGTAAAAGTGAACTGATATGTATATTTGCAATCTGGAAATTTTGCCTCAAGGCTGACTGAAAGGCAGACAATAATATGTTGCTCTTTATTACATGTTGAATTATGGCAGAAAAGATGCTGCCGACAACTAACATGTCTGCCTGAGCTATGTTGCAAATAAACACTGCAGTGGATTTTCTGGATACAGAAGGTGACATCAGTATCAGTGTGACATACAGACTGGCAAACAGTCCCAGCAGAGTGATGATGATGTTTGTAGAAGGTAGGACTAGATACTGGATATATTTGAATGCCAGGTACCTTCGGAAATCTTTCATATGATCTCGATTTGTAAAAGCACTATATCGGGCAGGATTCCTGTAGCGAGGTAGAAAAAAAGTGATGTAAGATTAGATATAAACAAAAACTTAAAGTTAACTATGGTTTAGTTCAAGTAATTCAAATGTTTTAGCCAGCTGGCATGCCAATATCTTTCTCATATTTAGACCCAGTTTCACAGTAGGTCATGTTACCACATGAAATTATTTATGGTGGCAATTGACTACAAAGGCAAAATCCATCTTTTATTTCCATGTTTGCTAAACACAGATTGATATCCTTACTTCGTGTTTGATTTCACCCTTCTGATTATTTAGCTTAAGCAAAGAATTAGAAGAAATTTTCCTGCATGGACAGATCCACAAATCAATGTCACAGAAAAAACCTTTAGACAGCAGTTGGTAGGAAGGTGAGGATTCTTCTTGGTTACCACATGCTTCTATTTATCTATTAAAATATTAATAACACAAGAAATGGTACTTTTACAATAAAGTTTCTGTGTGAAATGAGCAAATTATAAGAAAACTGGGATCTGAAGTGTTCTTTCCTCTAAGCAGAAGCACTGGTCAGAATTACTGCAGCTCACAAATAATTATTCACATTGGGATGCTTCACATTTAGTAAGCAGCATGCCTAGAATACCCGTTCTGCTCACCTGCACCCTCCTTTATGTCATGTAGTGTCTAACACCACACCACCAGCATGAGCCTTGTGTGAGGCAGATATCTAAAACATCATTGATGTATTAATCTTCCTCAAGATACACTGAAGGCACAATTCCAATAGCACCCCACCGCTCACTCTGTCCCTGTCTTCTCTCTCTCCCTTCCTCTTCACTTCTTCTTCCCTCTCTGACCTTCTCTTTCATTAAATTACTTAGAAATGTTTGTGGGGAGATAGTTAAGGTCAGCTTAACTTATTGATTTGTATAAACAGAAGGCAAATTGCAGATTGTGAGCTGATACAAAATCTGAAGAGATGTATTGTGAGGGAAATTTAACTTAAGAAGAAAGCTACCACCCTGGCTAAGTGGCTCAGTTGGTTGGAGCATTGTCCAGTACATCAAAAGGCTGTGGGTTCGATCCCCAGCCAGGGCACAAGCCTGGGTTGTGGGTTAGATCTGTAGTCAGGGTGCATATGGAAGGCACTCAATCAATGTTTCTCTCATCTCTCTCTTTCTCTCTCTCTCTCTCTCTCTCTCTCTCTCTCTCCTTTCCTTTCTCTCTCAAATCAATAAACATATCCTAGAGTCAGGATTTAAAAAGAAGCTACATAAGCATTTTATATCCCTTATAAATTCTAGCCTGCTAATAATTACTATGTTTGGTGACAATCGCCACTAATAGCTCCATCCCTGGGACATGCCTGCAGTATTTCTGATATCAAAGCTTCTAAAACATTCCCAAGATTTTTTTATAGATATATTTTACTGTGATAAGAACTTTTAAGATCTACCATCTTAACAACTTTCAAATATACAATACAGTATTATTATTTTTATTTTATTGTGGCTCAACACAGTACTATTAACTACAGTCTCCGTGTTGTATATTACATCAGCAGGACCTAATTATTTTATAATTGGAAGTTTGTATCCTTTGACCACCTTTACTCATTTTACCTATCTCCTGCCTCTGACAACTAATGATTTCTTCTCTGTATCTATAATTTCCATTTTTTAACATTATAAATGTAAATGAGATCATACAGTATTTATCTTTTTCTAGTTTATTCTTAGCATAATGCACTAAAGATCCATCCATGTTGTCACAAATGGCAAATTTCCTTTTCAATGGCTCAGTAGTATTTATGTGTATATACCCCCAAAATTACACTCAAAATGACCCAGGCTGAAATACTCAGAAATTTAAAAACCTTTATAACCCTATTCATGACATTGACTTTCAAAAAGCAAAAGGAATTTACCACTGACTTTTAAATACTAGATATGAGAAAGGGTATCAGCTAATTGTTTATTCATTCTTTATTCATTCATCCATGGAGGGACACAGGTTGCTCCCATATTTTAGCTATTGTAAGTAATGTGGCAATGAACATGCATGTGTACATGACTTTTTGAGTTTTAATTTTTTTGAGAAAAGTCCACACTGTTTTCCATTGTGGCTGTGCCAATCTTTATTCCTACCAACAGTGCATGAGAGTTCCCTTTTCTCCACATCCTCACCAACACTCTTAATTTCTTGTCTTTTTGGTAACAGCCATTTTATCAGGTGTGAAGTAATCCCTCATTGTGGTTCTGATTTGCATTTCCCTGATGATTAGTGATGTTGAGCATATTTGCATGTACCTGTTGGCCGTCTGTATGTCCTCCTTGCAAAAATGTCTATTCGGGTCATCTGCTCATGTTTTTAATCAGATTGCTTTTGTCCCCAAGGTGTATGTCTAGGTTACAATATCCACAGGGGTCACAAATTCAAATGCCTTCAGGTTCCAGAAAGCCAATCTATAATAAATGAGTAACATCTTATCTGAAGGGAACGGTTCATCAGCTCCAGCTTATTGTAGCCATTTAATGGTAAATCTATTTGTTATTTCAGGAGCCACAAGTCAGACTCTTAAGAGAGATCAGCCAAAGTTTTACTGAGGGCAATTAATTCAAATTGGTTTGGCATTTTGTTTCCTGTAGTCTTCACATCATGTGGGCCAGATAAAGCCCAGCCACCACTCTGCAGTTTTTGGTGTCAACACTGCTAATCTCATACCCAAGAAAGAAACATCACTGGAGTTCTTAAACCATTGGCCACAGTAAGTTCTGCATCTAAACCAAATGTGGAAGGGGAAGAAGGAAAGGAATTATCCTTTATTGAACACCTCATATATCCCAGGCATTGTGCTCAGTCCTTCATTTTCTTTTAATATTTTAAATTGCTCTATGAGTTATAGGTACGCTTACCTTCCCCATTTTACAGATGAAAGAAAACTAAACCTTAGAGAGGTTAAGTAACTGAAAGTCCCATTTGACTAAGAGGTGATGGAATGATAGAATCCAGGCTTGTCTGGCTAGCAAACTTCTGTTCCTTCCTGTCCCAACAGGTTCACTCAGAGTTAACAGGAGCTTATACCTGAGCCCCTTTTGTTAATGTGGGTCATAAACTGGGGTATCAATACTCAAAGATAAAAATGTCAAACTTGCTGTGTTTCTTTTCTCCCCACCTTTAAAGTCATTAATACCCATTTTCATTATTATTGAAAACACCATCTTTAAGAAAACACCAATTCTGCCCTGGCTGGTGTGGCTCAGTAGGTTGAGTGCTGGCCTGTGAACCAAAGGGTGGCTGACACAATTCCCAGGCTAGGGCACGTGCCTGAGTGGTGGGCCAGGTCCCCAGCAGGGGGCGCATGAGAGGCAACTACACATTGGTGTTCCTCTCCCTCTCTTTCTCCCTCCCTTCCCCTCTCTCTAAAAGTAAAAAAATAAAATCTTTTAGAAAAAAAGAAAACACCAATTCCCATAAAACGGTATCTACTGACTGATTGCAAATCTCATGTGAATTAAATTTTAGTTCTTTTCCCTGAGGCAAAAATCTTGAAGTGTTTATATTTGTCCTGTTGTGGAAAAGAAACTCATGCTATCTATTCTTTCTCTTCAGGCAAAGTGAAGTTATTAGGCAGCCAAGATCATATACTAGAGCCAAGTTCTCAGGCAACTTTTGTAATAAGCTGATTTCACAAGCAAACCTTCCCCTGTCTGCCTTTCTCCACCAATATCCCACACCACCACCTTTTATGTATATGTGGGTGATAATTACTAACCATAATCAACCTCAAACAGGTTAAATGTTCCCCTTACCTGTCACCCTCAATGATAACCACAATTACCTGGCAATTAACTCTAGAAACTCAGAGGGAAAATCACCCACAAAATGACCCAGACAGAAATACCAAGATCTTTAAAAAGTTTTATTGCCCTATTCATATGATTGACTTTCAAAGCAGAACAAAAGCAAAAAAAAAAAAAAAAACAGTGAATTTTGAGGAATATATATAAGGGTGTGTGCTAATTAATTTGTTGTTTAAATGATGCCTTTCATCCATGTTCTATAGCTTTTCAATGATACAATAGAATCAAAAAATTCACTGGGGAGGCTCAGAGGGTAGGGCCATTGATCATCAGTAAGCCTGCCACCCACCAAATCCACTAGGCCAAGCTGGATGTAGTCCCAAAAGCAATGGGACATTGGCTGTCACTAAGAAATTCTGTACAGACGCAGGGAAAATTTGATGAGCACCTACATGGTGAGAACTGTCAAAGTCAATTTAATATCCAACCAGGTTGAGAGCCAGGAGAAAAAGAGAATATATTTTATAAAAGATTTTATTTATTTATTTTCAGAGAGAAGGGAAGGGAGGGAGAAAGAGAGGGAGAGAAACATTGATTGGTTGCCTCTCGCACGCCTCCAGCTGGGGACCTGGGCCACAACCCAGGCATGTGCCCTGACCAGGAATTGAACCAACGACCCTTTGCTTCACAGGCTGGTGCTCAATTCACTGAGCCACACCAGCCAGGGTGAGAATGTATCTTACATATACAAGGAGTTGGCAGGGCTTGAGTTAGTGGTGTCTTTCAGGGAAACATATATATTCTCACCAACTGAGAGTGCTCCCACATGAAAGTAAGCCCCACAGTGGATGCAAAGGTGATTAAGATGTACTATCATGCTCCCAAGAGTGTTTTCAAATACCTGATGCAAGAGAGACCTCAGTCAAAGGCTACTTTCAAACCTCAACTAATAGCTCTATTGGTTTCCCAAAGCTAGAATCAGGAGAAAAGTCTCCCATATGCACTGTGGAAATTATAATGCAATTTTCAGCCCTGGCTGATGTAACTCAGTGGATTGAGTACCAGCCTGTGAACCAAAGGGTCACGGGTTCAATTCCCAGTCAGGGCACATGCGTGGGTTGAAGGCCATGACCCCCAGCAACTGCACACTGATGTTTCTCTCTTTCTCTCTCTCTCTCTCTCTCTTCCCTCCCTTCCCTCTCTAAAAATAAATAAATAAAACCTTTTAAAAAATAAA